ACGGCGGGCGCGTCTGCTGCCGCGGTCCCCCGCACCACGTGTGCGCACGAGTCCAGCGGGCCTGAACACCAGGCAGATACCACGCAGAACAGAGGAGGGGCGGCCGGGCCCGGGCGAGCCGCAGCGCACCCCTGCGTGAGTTCTCTGCCTGAGGACGGTCAGATTATGTATTTTAAAAGCAGCAAAAGGAAACAGACCCCCTTGTTGGCTCCAACCCATCTAAACATTTAATTCGACGTTTACCAAACCCAGTACGAAGCGAGCTGCTGTGCTCCGAGGCTTTACATTTTATATCTGCATGGGAAATTATTCCATGAGTTCCAACCTACAGTCTTGAAGGCCAAATAGAGTCGATTTCTAAGAGGAACATCGCGTTTAGAGTTTATGACACTCTTCCTTTGTTGTTGCTTTTTTTCAAGTATTTGAGAGCACAGTTCAGTTACTCGGCTTACCTAGATAGGACATAACCAAGCTATTGTTTCAGAGAAATCATTTTCTGGCCTAGAAAGTCTCTTACGTTTGCGGCTCTGCTCTTAGCTTCATAAATAGCGTCGGCCTTCTCCTCTAGCACGGGGGCCCTGAGCCTCTGCAGACAAACCTGTGCGCTGGGTACAGAGCACGCAGCTAGGCACAATTCCCTGTGAGCCCGCAGCGCTTGGCCGCTTTCCTGCCCGCGTCGAAGGGCAGGTCCTGAGAGGCTGCATGGCTACCGCACAGACAAAAACCTTCATTTACCCGGCAAATTATCGAAGCAAACTATTCGTATCATAAATCACATTTACTGCAAGTTATCTTCCATCCAGCTGAAAATTGTAGTATGCAATGTTAGTTCCAGACCCAAGGTTACATAAAAGGAGAAAGCAAAAGCCATCATGGAAACTGCAAAAAGAACCTGGAGCCTGGGAAACCCACCACCTGCCTGTGGAGAGGGAGACGCTCACTTCCGAGGCCTGTCTTCAGCAAAGGGACATTTGCATATGAGCATCGTACTCACCGGAAATAAAATAGCCTTAAGTCCTACAATAAGATAGCAAAGAAACAGATAACCAAAAATGTACAAGAAAGAAAAGGTGGGGCTGGGAAGGTGGCTCAGTGGTAGAGCGCTTGCCTCACATGCATGAGGCCCTGGGTTCAATTCCTCAGCACCACATAAGCAGAAAAAGCCGGAAGTGGCGCTGTGGCTCACGTGGTAGAGTGCTGGCCTTGAGCTGAAGAGCTGAGGGACAGCGCCCAGGCCCAGAGTTCAGTCCCCATGGACAAAAAATCAAAAGGAAGAAAAGGAACATTTACCCAACAAAAGCCCTGACATTGGAAAGCAGTTAATGGACGAGGCTCTGTAGAAAGGCCTCAGAGCCTTCCACTCCTGGCACAGTGCCTTCATAATCTTGTCTGCTTTTGCCTTCCGGGCACAGGAAGAAAAGACCAGGTGACTATGTGAGGTCATTGCAAATGTCCCCATGCTGTGCTGTTCTCCTCTGCTTCTATTTTCACACAGGCTCTTCAGGCTGCTGGAGCAGAAGAGAAACTCTTCACCAAACCAAAACCCCTGACAAGAGCTCCTCTCCCAAGGACGGTCAGCCAGGACCAGTCCTCCCACAGCGCCCCCCAACATCACATCCACCTTAGTAAGGAAAATGGTCAGGCAGTCAATGACATTGAGTCAGTAAGTATCAAACTATGAGGTAGCAATGTGGCATGATCGACTCAGATTTACGTTTGTTAATCAAATATTGAAGAAAATCATCTGGTACCTTGGATGAGTTGAGAATTACATTTCCCAGCATGGCTAAAAGTGTTACCCAAATTTACCATTTGTTTTGAATACCATAATTATATGTAACATTAACTACTTGTAATATTATATGATGTTATTGTTAATGTGGTTTTTTCCTGATAATCGCATAGGTTTCCATTAACTTGCCCTAAAAATATTAATAAAAGTATTCAGCATACTTGCTATTTGCATGTTTCTTATCTATTTTCAAAATATTGGCTAAATTATCATCATTGATTTTACATTTCTAAGCACGTTTGGTTACACCATGAGTCTTTGAAACAAAATGACACCTTCAAATTTTCAAATTTGAGTGCTTTCGGATTTCACTTTTTTAACCGGAGGTCTCCTGTTCATTACAGTATTACACTGTCTGAGAAAATCCAACACACACTGCAAGAACACTGTGCTATCGCTGCGATTTTGATTTTGTCCCCTAACATTTTTCAAGTCCCTGCAATAATAAAACATGTTAATTAGCATTCCATACGCAGTGAGTTCGGGCCTGGTCTGACGTGCGTGTAACTGTGGTTAGAAAGTCGTAGAAAGTGGAGCCATCATTTTGAACACTCTTATTACGTTGGTCCGCAGGGGCGTTTCCTTGTGATACTGCTGGGCACGCTCACCACACACGCATGAGAGGCAGCTGCCCCGGGGTGCTCTGAACCCCAGGGGTGCTGCCGAGGGCATGGGGAAGGAAGCAGCCCCTGCGCTGTGCGGGAGGGCCATCGCCCCAGCGCTGAGTGACTGTGAGGTGTGCAGACACAGGACGCAGCAGAGGGGTTTTCAGGAGCATGCTGTGCAGAGCAGGACAGGCAGACAGAGCAGACTGTCCTCAGAGACAGACGCCTGTCCTCGGGCTAGAAGAGGAAGAAGGGAGCTATGCAGCCACCTGTCTCTGCAGCTCGAGGTCCCAAAGGACACAAGAGAGGACATAAAGCTCTCAAATAGCAAGACTGAAACCTTCCCATAAGACACAAACCCTTACCCAATGGCACAGATAATCTTTTAAAATAGTTAATTATCCTTAAGTAGTTGCACCCAGGAGCTGCCATGTAAGGGAGCGGTTTATGAACACGGGGATCTTGATCCACGTCACCCTTTCCACAGACCCACCCCTTCCACAGTCCCTCCCCCTCCACAGACCCACCCCTTCCACAGACCCTCCCCTTCCACAGACCCTCCCCTTCCACAGTCCCTCCCCCTCCACAG